CCTTTAGCTCTATCATTTTCTGGGTTCTCTGTACATTCGGGAAGGATTATGGGGGGCCTGAGTCTTTCCCAGCCTGCCCAGTACATGCCATGCGAAGGAGGACTGGCCTTTCAGAATAAAGTCCTCTAGGATTCCCTCTTGTTGACGTGCCTGGGCTGGCAAGCTCAAATGGGAGCTTTGACTCCCTGTGCTCAGGAGCTGGGCATGGAGGTGGGAGTGGTTCGGGGCAGTTGTCCTCCAAGGTGTGAACCTTCCTTTCTCTGTTCTTGGAAGAGGGCAGGGAGGCTGATAAAAGTGGAGGTGGGTTTCCTATGCCAAGTGCAACGTGAGAAGGACATCCCGGCCTCACATTTACTCTTGGAAATAGTCCTCTTCCCCACTCCCCCCCCCCTTGTGTAATAGTTAACCTCAAGCATTCACCAACCCAGCACGGAGTCATTCCACCAGGGACCTTTGTTCCAAAGAAGGAGCCAGGGGAAAAACTGGACAGGACACGCAACTATCAAAAATGTGAAATGAATCCAATCAGAAGCCTTTCTTTGATGACCCATGGTCCCTAAGGAACGCTCTGTTCTCATTTCACCCCAACTAGTCCCTGTCTCTCCAGAATTCCTAACAGGCTAAAGACTTAGTCCCTGCCTGAGTTTCTATCTGCTCCTCTCTGGCTAGAAAACTGGAAAAACACTAAGATATTTTGAAGAGATCAGAACACAGCCAGAGCTGTTCAAGACTGCACGTACTATCTGACCCAGCCAATCACAGAGTCTTGGAAACCAAGAGGGAATCAGCAGAGACGAAAACCCGGCCAAATCCACAGCATCCTGTTTAAGCCACTACCATCCATCATTGCTATCTGCCAGTGACTATGCATGCTGGGCTCACAAAGGAGACGCTCCGGGAGAGGGGCTGCCAGGACGCCTCCATCGTACAGCTGCAAGAGCCCTGGTGCTAACTCCCTGACTCACTGTGTGATCCTGAACAGGGCAGTCTCCCAAAGTGGGCCTCATGCGTATGGAAGGCAGAATAATGCCTGTCCACCACCAGTCCACATCCTGATCCCCAGAATCTTTTTTTTTTTTTTTTTTGAGACAAAGTCTTGCTCTGTCTCTCAGGCTAGAGTACAGTGGCATGACCATAGCTCACTGCAACCTCAAACTCCTGTGCTCATGTGATCCTCCTGCCTCAGCCTCCCGAGTAGCTGGGACTACAGGCATGCGCCACCACGCCCAGCTAATGTTTTATTTTTGTAGAGACGAAGTCTCACTATGTTGCCTAGGCAGGTGACAAACTCCTGGCCTCAAGCGATCCTCTCACCTCGGCCTCCCAAAGTTGGGATTACAGGTGTGAGCCACCATACCGGGCCCAGAATCTTGAATGTGGAAAAGGAAGCATGATTCAGAGGGTGAAGCCAAGGGAACACAGGCAGAAGGGTCTCTGCAGATGAGACTAAAGGTGAGGACTCTGAGACGGGAGATTATCCTGGACATGCAGGTGGACCCAACCCAATCACATGAGCCTTTAACAGTGAAGACGAAGGTAGAAGAGATGTGACATGAGAAGGCCTTGATTTGCTGGTGCTGGCTTTGAAGATGGAAGGGAGCTATGAGCCAAGGAACACAGCGGCCTCCAGGAGCAAGGGCTGGCTCTCGATTTACAGCCAGCAAGAAAATGGTGACCTTGGTCCTACGACCACAGGAACTGAATTCTGCCAACCCTCAAATAAGCAGGAAACTGATCTCCCCTTAGAGCCTCCAGGAAGAATGACACCTCGATTTTATTCTCTTGAAACCCATACCGAACTTCTCATCTGCAGGGTTCCTGTTAAGCCAATAAATTTGTGATAATTTGCTGCAGTGGCATTAAAAAACAATACATTGTGTGATCCTGAGTAAGTCATTCTTCCCAACTGGGCCTCAGTTTTCCTGTCTGTCAATTGGAAAAGAGGGACAAGGCGACCTCTAAGGGTCTGGCCAGCTCTCAAAGACTGACTGCTCTCCTGACATACTACCTCCCCTACAGCCCTGTCCCCAGCTCCACGATGGTCTTCAGTTGAAGACCCTTAAAGGAAAAACAGAAACAGTGAAGGGAAGAGAAAATTAATCTTTAAAAAGCCCCAACGTGTTTCCTAAGGTACCACCCAGGGCACTCAAACAGAAAGGTCTTCTGTTTTACCATTTGCAACTTCATTGACCACAGCCCAGAGGAATGAGGTGGGATGTCTGGGAGAGCAAGATGACAGCTCCAGAAGCAGTGGGTTGAGGCTGTCCGGAGCACGGAGTTAAGGTGCAAAGTACTGGTTGTCAACCTTGGCCTGGGGCAGGGGGTTGGGAGTAGTGGCAACTGTGCCAGATCCAAGTCATCATTAATTAAAACTGATTTGGGGAGCCCAGTTTAGTTTTCTCTGTCTCTTCTTCTCCTCCTCTATTTCATGTTCCCTGATCCTATGTACAGGTCACCAGCAAGTCACATACCCAATCAGCCAGTCAGAGTCCAAGTCAATAAAATAAGCTCTATCTACACACGACTAAGCAATTTAAGGTACACTTCAGTCCTTGAATCTGGCTTGCCGTTGTTTAATACACCAGGCAATTGTAATTCTGCCCTGTTTTCCTTCCTGGCTACCTAACTCCAAGCCTTTCCTGCTAGATGTCTCCATTCTCTCTTGAGGTTCACCTTCTGTTTCCCCAGTGAGTTGGGAGGGTCCCCAGTGATCTGCTAGTGCAGTGGCTATCAAATTCTCACTTAACTTCTCCCAAGTCACCTTGCATGGAAGTGACAGAGGCAAGATTTGAACCCTGGTTCCCCCCCCAACTCCAGTGAAGTTTAGAGGATAGACCCTGGAACCAGATTGCCTGGGTTCAAACTGCAGCTCTGATGCTTACTTCGTATGTGATCGTGGGTGAGTTACTGACTCCCTCTGGACCTCAGTTTTCTCATCTATAAAATGGACGTAATGATGGTCCCTCCCTAATAGGACTGTGGTAAAGACTAAATGAGTTAATACATGTAAAATTCTTAGAATAATGCCCGGCTTATACTACGCACTCAGTAAACGTCAAGTATGACTATTATTACGTCGTTCAGCTTACCTGGCTGTTCAGAGTGGGGGGGCTATGGGGGCGGCAACACCAACACTTATTCCTATAAACTGTGAGTGTGAATACATGTGTCTATTTGCCATGCCGCTGCCAACACTGGCAGCGTAAAACTAACCAATACAAGGATTCTCTTTCCTTGGAGGCATTTCCTTCGTTCATATGTTTTAATCCACAGAGAAGAAACAGAAGCACATTCTTTAAAAAAGGAAAAAGGATCAGCATACGGCTGGGAAAGTGTCCCAGGTTGTGACTGCCCTTTACCCCTTGGTCTGTCACCCCAAAAAGCCCAGTATCTAGGCCAACCACAGGCCCTCGCACTCTCTTGTTTTGCGTCTATAGCAGCACCTCCCCACGGCTCAGCGGTTCTCTGGCTGTGACAGAAAGAGGACTCCCCAGACCCCTGTGCAGTGGAGCCACAGTTCTGAGGTCCTGAGAGGTCGGGGTGTGGGAGATTTCATGCAGCATGACTTGTAACCCCCAAGCATGACTCATAACCCCAGGACAGCTGGAGATGGGAGGTCCCTGCTAAAATGAGGAAACACTTCTTGGCTTTTTCAGCTGTCGCTGCAGATGTGGTGTCCTAAAGCTCAGCTGGGCTGTCCGCGTGTGTCCAGAGGGCTGCCGTGTGACCCGCATAACCCAAAAAGCACGCCATGCTCGGCCACAAACGCGTATCTATTCCACCTCCGCGGCTCCACTTCACAGATGAGGGAGGCCACGTGCAGAAGGGGGGAAATGCCCCAGCCGGGTAACTCGGAGGGTCTCCTGGCTTCCAGAGGACTGTTCCTCCGGCTCCCATCCCCACCCCGATTCAGGCATTCCCAATCCTTCCAGACTATTTGCCCACTGCAGAGGTAGGGCAGATCACAGCAGATGTTCGCGGAATCTCTGCTACTGGGATGACTGAGCAGCCCCTCCCCTGCCGCCTGGGGTCGGGGAGTTCAGTGGTCACTATCTACAGGCAAGGGGGAGAACCAGCCCGCAGGCGCAGCAAGGTCAATGCTAGTCTGGAAGAAACAAGTGGACCCAGCCTGGCCCTCAATCAGAAGAACCCCTGAGGCTTGTGCAAATGTTTACGGCTTACACTTTTCATTCTTTCACTCAGTGCACATGTATGGAGCACTTACTATTTGCAAGGCCGTTTGCCACGTGCTGAGGATGCCTCGGAAATGAGGATAGACAGGAAGTTCCCACCCTCAAGACATTGGCGGGACAAGAGTAGGGGGCACAAGAACCAGCAAGTGGAACACCTGAGTCCTAAGCAAAGGCGCGGAGGAGGAGGAGGGGGGAGGGAAGGCTTCTCTCCAAGATACTTTGCACACCTTTCTCTTTTGCTTTCTGTAGACAAAAGATGTTTGCCCCATTTCGCAGATGGAGAAACGAGGCTGGGAGACAGGAAGGCGAAGCAGCTAGAGACGGCACCAGCGCCGCAACTCCGAACTCCTGGCGCCTTCCGCGCGGGGCTGGGAGAAGAGCGGGGCAGACGATCCGCCGTCCTGGGTGGTGCAGGGACCCAAACCCAGCGCAGCGCCCAGGCGGGTCCTCAGGCGCGGGCCGACCCCGACTGCCGCCGGGCCTGGCGAGCCAAAAGGGGGCAGTCTGCTCGAGCAGGGCCGCTTCCCGAGAAGGCAGGGGCCGGGAGCCCGGAGGGAAGCCCGTCTCCGAGGGGGCTCACCCCAGAGGCCCAGCGATGTGCACGGAAAGGGGCTGGAACTTAGGGGCTGACCGCGGGACACGAGGGAAGGGGGCGTGAGGCGAAGAAATGCGAAAGTGATGAAGGGGACAGTGAGGGAGGAGAGGGCATACAGCGGAGGGTGGGGCGCCCTCTGGGGCAGGGGCCGCTCTAGAGTTAGGTCGCGATCCCGAAGCGCCCCACGAACGACGCCCGATGGCCCCACTCACCCGGGATCCGCACAGCTGCCTGTGAACCTCGCGGCGGGTCTGCGGGAAGTTCCCGGGGCAGGGACGGCTCGGCGCTCCTCGGGGTCCCCAGGACCGCGCTGGATCGGGCAGGCGGAAGCGCCCCCAGGCCTGGAAGCGGAGCCCCAGCCCGCGCCCGGACGCGCCCCGGCTCCCCGAGCCCGCGAGGCGGGAGCGCGCAGGAGCGGCCGGGACGCGCGGCGGCCGGGGCTCTGGAATGCGCCTACGCCGGGGACCGCCCCCGGAAAACCCCGGCCCGGCGCGGCTCCTCCCCCAGCCTCCCCTGAGGGCTGCGGGGGAGGAAGGAACCGGCCCGAGAGGGAAGAGGCCGGGGTGTCTCGGGTTCCCCTCGTCCGCTCGCCACATGCTCGCCCCGTGGCCTTAAACACGTCACTTCGCGCTTCTCGGGGGGCTCCGCTCTTTGTGTTGTAAAGTGAGAGGGTCGGCCTAAAATGTGTCCTCCAAGATCGTTTCCAGATGCAGTGTAGACATAGGAAAGTCTAGCAAGTGCGTTTGGATGGCGGACTCGGAGTCCCTGCCTTGCAATGTACCTTCGCCTCTCTGTACTGTGAGGATAGTAACACCTGTCTCCCAGCCTGGTTGCCAGGATTGACTTGGAGGACCAGTGTGAAATTGGTAGGTTGCCTGCCATAACATGCCTCTGAGCATCCTGTTTGTTTTGTGATAACGGTGAAGTGGCCCAGTCCAAGGTGATCAATGGCCCATCACAAATTGGCCTTTGAGAGCCTTCCCATCCCCCTCTCTGTTGGTGGCTCCGCTTCCACATAGCGCAATGCCAATTCCGCAATCTCCCGGCCCCCCACTCCCCCACCCTCGCCCCATCCATGGAGTGAAGGGGGACTCCTGGTCGGTGGTATCTTGGCCCCCACACTTTTTGATTCAGCTGTGGAGTTTTGTTCAGTCTTACTCTTCTGAAAAAAGGAGCGCAGGCCTTGAGTATCAGTCAGTGGGATCTTGAGCAGTCTTGGAGCCCAGTGGTGTTTCAATTTCTTCCTTTACCCAATGGGTATGGAAAGAACTGTACTGCCTTACCCAGGCCTAAATTTGGTATCCTACAGGCCCTAAACTTACCCCCTGCTGTTTCTTCTGATTCAGGGATGAGGTCAGCAGAAATGACTTCTAAATCAACATTACCAGATGCCAGTTTTTTAGAGGACAATGAGGATGAAGATTGACGTGAGAAATGATTTGACAAAAGTTCCAAGGGTTGCTGCCCAACAGCAAGTTGGGTGAGACATGTTAATGCGAAGAGAAAAGTGTAAGATCCTAAAAACAAGCACAACCCAATTCTAAATAGTTTAATACAAAATTCTCGTTTAATAGGGGAAAAAAAGTTAAAGGAGGACAATCTTAGTACAAAAGGCTCCCTGGTTAGTGGAAAGAGATAGGGGCTCCTTTGGGTGGACAACTGGTAAGTCCCTGTGCCCTGCCGCGAACATTGGCTTCCCTCTGAGGCTTAGGACTGGAGCCAGCAAGGGTGGTCACCCAACAACATGTTTTAATCAGAAGAGAAAGGCTTAGTCTGCCTTTCCCATTTAGCAGTGTATTAGTATCTCTTTAATATCAATTTGCCTAGACTCAAAAAGCAAGCCAAAAAAAGAAAGTTTGAATATCCTATGGGAAGCGTACCATGTTAAGTCTGCTGCCTCAGCAGGACTGTTTTTGCAAAGAAGGGATTGGAAGGGAAGAGTAATGGATGCTGTGTCGGGGGGTGTAGGAAGAAAAATAAAAATAGCCAATTTCAACCACCAGCTTTTGTTACAATAAAAACCAAGCAACAACTCACATTTCACTTCCTTAGTCCCCAATTACAAGTACTCCAAAGAGAAAACCATCAGGAGCTCAAAGCATCAGTAATACTCACTTGGAGATCCCTGATAGTGGGGGAAATTTGTTTAGAATTTTTAGACTAATGACATTGGTCCCCGGCCTAAAGGGACCCCCCCCCACTCAGATGCAATCCATAGCAGAAACCCTGTCTATGGATCATATCTACATAAGACTT